AATGGCCCAAGCCTTAGTTTTGGGAGGCCAGAAATGTGCATACATGGAAAGAGCACCAGACAAAAGAAAAGAGTTCACGTTAATTTATTGGTATTGTGCTAAAAGACAACGCGTTTCAGAGACAAAGGAACTTCCCCTTCATCAGGGTTACAGCAAAACATAATATAATGTAAATATAATTGTTACTGATAAAATCATGGGATTTGTTAGGTTCGTGATTTTATCAGTCACAAGTACATTTGTTACATTATGTTTAATTGTAGCCCTGATGAAAAGGGAGTTCATTTGACCCCCAAAACGAGTTGGCTGTCTTTTCGCACAATACCGGTATATGAATATGGAATCTCTTATTTTTTGATCTGACGCTCCATGCATGTTTTTTTTTTTCTGGTAACCTGCTGGAGTACCGACTGGAGGGTAGCCTTGTAAAATGTAAGCAGTCAATGGGCTCTTTAAATGTTTTTGGCCCTCCCACTACCTTGTATAAACTCATACCAAAGTCCCAACGCCCCTTGGATGCCCTTTATTAGATTTGGGGGAAACATTTTTTTTTACCTTTGCACATATTTAGGTATTCTTTGCAAAGTGAATTTTCGCCTCATTCACTGAGCTCTGGGGAAAAATCCTTGGCAACCAGCCCATTTGCCTTAAGTAAATCAACCCCAGTGTGTTCAGACAGCGATTACAACTGCCAACAAAAATCTACTGATTTGATACTGATGGCTGACACTGGACAGTGTTATTTGGTTTATGGTGTGTGTATACAGTATATGCACTTTTTAATGTTGTATTATACAAATAGAGCTGGCGGTTTTTGGTCCTTATGCGAAACAAGGAGTGGTGGGAGAGATCACGAGACACATTTATTATAAGATGCTGGCTTTATTCATACATTTCTTCTCTGCTGCTCTAACATAGCACTGCAAAATGGCAGCACGTGCATTTACAGTTTACGGCTTGACCTCATCGGCGTACCCTACATGTTACGTCACTTGACTTCATCAGGAGTACTCCATTTTGGATAAGGGATCTATGCAGTTTTATTCAACAATGATACTGTATAGTGAGTCTTTGATCCTGTAGTGTCCCAGGTGTACAATTTTAAATGTGAGTGTATTTTGATCAGTATTTAATAAAGTTGGTTGTATTTGGCTATACTTCACTATATGGAGCATTTTTTTCATATGTCTGTGGAGGGTTTTGGAGATTTTGAGTGCTGACAGTGGTGACGATTTATGTACCAGTACACCCTCCTGGGTTAAAGGGAAGGGCATAGTTTAATCTGAGTATACTGGTCAAACCTGAAGGTGAGCACAATAGTGTGTCAGAGGTGCATAAGCACTAAGGGGTGACACAGGAGCACCGTGTATGTATATGCAGTAGTGTGATCACACAGACCCACTTGGAGCACAGAGGATTTAAAGGGACGGTTCACCAGCATTTTTGAGACCATAATATTGGGACACTTGTTAATCGTATATTTTGAACACGACGCACAGTCGATATACCGCACAACCACATGTGAAGATATTGGAGCGTTTAAGGGACAGTTCACTATTTTGTATGGTGCATTTGATATTTGCATACACTATTCATTTAGCAATGGTATTTGCAGTTTTATGGATATTCATATAAATGTGTTGATATTTATTTTGATGTAGCACATATCATTGTCACGAAGCATAATTCTCTGTTTTCACTATTCACATATGCACGTTGGATTTATGTAGCACCGTATTTGTATTTATAGTACTACGCTGCATTTTTTTGGATTTATGGTTTACATGTGGGAGCACAGTACATACTTGCTGCAATACTTGGTTCATAGGAGGTCTATTGCGCTGAGGGTCTCTCACATATATATATAATACCGTGTCACAAAAACCGTGAAACCCAAATTCCAAAAATCCTTCTAATGTGACAGTCCAACTGGAGAAGGTGATTTAATATCATTAGATTGGAGGAGATTGAAGGATTCTGTAGGATTGTGCATCACACTTAAGTTCTCATGCACACTGGATGTTTTTAAAGCAGCTGTCTTTGGCTTTTGGCATTTTTTACCACAGCCGGTAAACTCCCCAGCATGTTATTCTGTGTCCATAGACACACAGGCTTTAATGAGCGTTTTTTTGGCAGGGGTGTTTTTTGGCTGAAAAAAAAAACAGGACTAGTGGGTTTCTAGAGGAGTTTTTTAGCTGTAAAAACGCTCTAAGGCTGGTAAACTTCGGCAAACTGGCATTTTGGGGGGGGTTTGGCAAATAATTAATTTATTTATTTTGTCAAAAAAAAGTGACTAAACGCTACTGCAAAAATGCTAAAAAAAAGCTGAAAATTCACGTTTTTTAACTTGACTTTACACGGCTAACCCTAGCAGCGTTATTAAAATGCCCCGTGTACATGGAGCTTTAGGCATACAGGATCTGTGTTTACAAGCTTGCTGGATACATTGTTGGCCGAGTTGATTTGGTGAGTTCCCATTTCAGCCATACACGATGGTGGAACGCAGTTTGGAGCTGCAAGAATAGTCACCAGTTGGACTGTCGCATTTGAATGATTTTTGGGATTTTGGATTTCATGTTTTTCGTGACACAGTATTATATGTCCTGTTAATTTATAACTATTGTGTATGATTATCACGATTGCATGATTTTGGTAAGCAGGGGTGGACTGGTCATTTGGAAACTCGGGCACTGCCCGAGGGCCTGGGGTCAGTAGGGGGCTCCATGAGATGCCCCTGGTACCTTTTTCATAGGCTTTTTTGAGTTTGGGCAAGGACACGGGGGCCCCAGGAGTTGTCAGTCCGCCCCTGTTGGTGAGCGTTTATGTTTATTAATTGCACATTTATGTTAAGTGTTGTTTCACTTAAAGGGGCAGCTACCTATTTAATATTTTATATGTATTTACAAAACTTTTTTTGTTCACTATCTGGTTGGGTTTGGTGCTGCTTAATTTTTTTCAACTAGAATAAAATCTGAGCCTGGCCACTTCTTGTGAAAATGTATCTCATCTTCAGTGTTGAATCTGTCTCAGACCTTCAGCAAATCTGCCGCCCAGGATTCTAAAAGCAGGAGTGACAAATGCACAGAAAAAAGGTTGCATTGGATATACTATATTTAAAGGTTTTTTCCTTTGCTTCTGTGTCAGTAATTTTCTTGATAAATGCCCCCAACAGAATGTAAAGTTAAAGTTTATTCTGCTTGAAGTTTTCCTTCCTGCTTTAAACACCTCCCCCCGCGCCACCAAACAACATGCCAATAAAATATTTTAAAAAGACCATTTCTGTTTTCATTGCAGCATCATCAGTGCCTCCTCATCATCAATGCCCACCAGTGCCACCTCATCAGTACCACCACTGGTGTATTTAGGTTTTGTGCTAGCCCAGGCAACAGAAAAATCGGGTGCCCCCCACAGAGAGACCCTGACACCAACCAACACCACCCCCCCACCCAAGAGAGCCTTCCACTACCACCACCCTCCATACCTCCATCCCACCCCCAAGCGAGAGAGCGAAAGACACTCACCTTCAGAGCTCCAGACATCCTCTGGAATAAGACTCAGGCTCAGCATACACCGTCAAGGAGCCCACAGCCTCTCTTGGATTCCATCCGGTCCCCATGCCACATGTGTCCCTACTTCTGTCTCTTCTTCCAGGGGACAGTGCTGCCCCCCTGAAAAGTGCCGCCCTAGGCACATGCCTTGTTTGCCTGGTGGTAAATACACCCCTGAGTGCTACCTCATCAGTGCAGCTTATTAGTGCCCATCAGTGCTGCCTATACGTGCCACCTCAGCAGTGCCCACCAGTGCTGCCTCATCACCTCATCAACACACATTTCCCTAGGTACAAACCTATAAACTAAATTGTGCAAAGAAATATTGCTTCTAGGAATCATCTGGAAATCTAAGTTGTGTTTCTCACTGACACTTCAGGAAGGATTTATATTGCTCCCACTATAGAATTACTGTTAAATGTGCTATTCTAAATGATTCCCTGAGGTCTGAAGTCTCTAAGGGCCCCCATGTGCCTGATTCCAAAACGTTGTTCACCTTCTATGTTGAGGCGTAAAGCCAATGAGTTGGTCCAGGATAGATAATGAGCACATAACATCTCCTATGGAGGCTCGTTGTCTCTTGCCAGAGCCACAAAATGTTACGTCATCACTGCTCTCTCTCCAGCAAGCCAGATTCTGCAGTGTTCCAAACCAGCAAGGGAGTGACAGCCATCTTTAAATAGCGGGCCACAGTCCAAATATGGACCATTAGTCAGCCAATCCCCAGCTCAGTCCCCCCCCCCCCTCTATAGTCAACAGTTGCTAGAATGGCTGGCGTCCTAACAACCATTTTGTTGTACCCCACCCCCAGCATCACATGAGGATGAAAGTGGAACTTTCTGCATCCAGACTCTTAGCCTGGCTATAGGTCTCCTGCACTACCGATATAAATTATGGAGGCACTCTGATGGTGACACCTGATGGAATGGGGGTACCTGATAAAAGGGGGCACTCTGATGGGACATTTTATGTAAGGTGGGGACTGGGGCACTCTGATGGGGACACCTGCCGTAAGGGGGCACTCTGATGGAGAAATCTGACATAAAGGGGGCACTCTGATGGGGACACCTGATTTAAAGGGGGCACTCTGATGGGGAAACCTGATTTAAAGGGGGCACTCTGATGGGGATACCTGATGTAGGGGGCACTCTGATGGGGACACCTGATGTAAGGGGGCACTCTGATGGGGACACCTGGTGTAAAGGGGGCACTCTGATGGGGACACCTGGTGTAAAGGGGGCACTCTGATGGGGACACCTGGTGTAAAGGGGGCACTCTGATGGGGACACCTGGTGTAAAGGGGGCACTCTGATGGGGACACCTGGTGTAAAGGGGGCACTCTGATGGGGACACCTGGTGTAAAGGGGGCACTCTGATGGGGACACCTGGTGTAAAGGGGGCACTCTGATGGGGACACCTGATGTAAAGGGGGCACTCTGATGGGGACACCGGATGTAAGGGGGCACTCTGATGGAGACACCTGATGTAAGGAGTCTCTGATGGGGACACCTGATGTAAGGGGGCACTCTGATGGAGACACCTAATGTAAAAGGGACGCCTGATGTAAAGGGGGCACTCTGATGGGGACACCTGGTGTAAAGGGGGCACTCTGATGGGGACACCTGATGTAAAGGGGGCACTCTGATGGGGACACCTGATGTAAGGGGGCACTCTGATGGGGACACCTGATGTAAGGGGGCACTCTGATGGGGACACCTGATGTAAGGGGGCACTCTGATGGGGACACACCTGATGTAAGGGGGCACTCTGATGGGGACACCTGATGTAAAGGGGGCACTCTGATGGAGACACCTGATGTAAGGGGGCACTCTGATGGGGACACCTGATGTAAAGGGGGCACTCTGATGGGGACACCTGATGTAAAGGGGGCAATTTGACGGGGACACTTAATGTAAAAGGGGCACTCTGACGGGGGACACCTGATGTAAAGGGGGCACTCCGATGGGGACACCTTGTATAAGGGGGCGCGCTGAAGGGAGACTTGATGTAAGACAGCACTGTGATGGGGACACCTGGTAGAAGGGAGCACAGTGATGGGGACACCGGAAGGAAGGGGAACTCTGAAGGGACACTTTATGTAACAGGTACTGTGATGGGGACACCTGATAGAAGGGAGTACAGTGATGGTGACACCTGGTGGAAGGGGGCACTACGAGGGGGGAAACCTGATGTAAGGTGGCACTCTGATGGGCCATTTGATGTAAGGGGGCACTGTGAAGGGGACACCTGAAGGAAGGAGACACAGTAACAGGGTCACCTGATGTAAAAGAGGCACTCTGTAGAAAACACTTGATATAAGGAAGGTGCCAAGGAAGTTGCCATCTTAGCCTCTGTTTGATCTGCACATGTGTGCAGTTATGACACAAGCCATTTGATGACTTTGATAAATGTCACAGTGGCTTGTGCTCTCATCCAATCATAGAATGCTTTGAATGTAAATGTTATAGGCCAGGGGCAGGGGTGGACATGTTTTTGATGCCAAAAGTCACACTCTTTGAACAATTGCACGAGAAAGTACCATATGAAAAGAGAATTATTTCCATGATAATTGTTCTATAAGGAATTTGTAACTCTTCCTTCTGGCCAATTAAGAAAAAACTGAACAGCACACAGCACCTCTTCATTTTGCAGTATATCAATATTTTTTCCTGCTAGGCCTGTAAATGTATTTTTATCATAAAATATTTACAAAATGCTATAGCTTCCTAGATTAATCATCATGTTACAAGACAGTACTAGGCTCTCTGTACTAAGAGGCCCCAGTTACTTTGGGTGATATGGCTGTAGTTGCCTTTTTGTAAAGCAAATATCAATCATGTAGAGAACAAATATTAAAACTTAGGAAATTGTTAGTTACAAAAATGCATGTACACTGACAAAACTGTGGGGGACATTTTCCAATTCCATTGCACGGCGCAGCAATGCTGAACAGTAGCAGTGAGCAGGGGCAGACTGACCATTTGGAAATTTGGGCACTGCCCAAGGGCCCGGGGTCAGTAGGGGGCCCCATGAGATGCCCCTGGTACCTTTTTCATAGGCTTTTTTGAGTTTGGGCAAGGACACAGGGGCCCCATGATCCCCTATTGCCCGGGGGCCCCATGAGTTGTCAGTCTGCCGCTGGCAGTGAGATGCATTTTGAGATAGACTTCCTAAAAGGTTAGAGCCGGAGCCATAAATTCCTCCTTTGGCTGCTCTAAAGTTGCACTGTGATGAATGAACCATGACCACTTCTTCTGTTTAAATTTTAAATACGTCTAATATTCAGTAATGTATCTGACTCAATACTTTGCATACTCTTGCACTTTGGCTGTCCAGGAATTCAAACACACAGGTCAGTAAATGTGTTGTGGAGACACTGATGAACAAGATGTAGACTAGTTTGTGACTAGGTGTGTTACTAATTTGCTCAGTAAATGTACCCCACTGCCTTGTGGATTTCTCTTGTAGCACCCACTAGGTGGCGCTAGTGTAAGGAAAATGTATTTTTGGCTCATGGTAGTGAGTGAGCCTGAATTTCTGTGGGTTCGGTGTGAGGTTGGGCATGACGACTCAGCTGTTTGGGACTCTATCGCCTCCGCCTGGCTCTGGATGTCAATGGAAGCTTCCAGAAGCCAGTAGGGGGACGGGTAGAAACCTCAATCTGCATATTCATGGGAGTTTGACCAATCCTAGTCTAAGAGGACCTGGTAGTGTAGTAGACTAGCCCATATATATATATATATATATATATATATATATATATATATATATATATATATATATATATATATATATATATATATATGAGAGAGAGCCATGCTGGGGAGTTAGGTGGAAGATGTATTGCTGAGAGGTGTTGCTGTGTAGCCTGGGAGGGAACCCCAGAGGAGCAGGGTTCAGCTTCCAGGCAGGATGGAAGCTGAGGAGAAGCTGAAAGATGGAGCTCCACTGCTCTGTCATCCAACTATAGCCTTCAAGTCTTGGAGAGGAACCAATATAACTAGAAGGCCTGAAAGCAGTTCTATCCACAGGTGCAGGACAATGACAGTGTGAGTACCTCTCCACCCCCAGGGCATAGAAGGGAAAGATCTGCTTGATGCACGTTTGGGCAAGTCTTCATGGGACAGATCATAGCTTACCTAATCCCTTGTCCTGGGATCAGATACTGTAGCCAGTTTGGCTGGTATTCTGTGCACCAAGGGAACCAAGAACTCCTACACATTGTAATGTTTATAAAAATCCACTCAGGGGACACCAAGCTCCTAGAAGGGGATTATTTACTAAGGACTGTAATGGTTGCAGCTGGGACACAGTCAAGTGTGTGTTGTTGTTTTTTTACTAAGTGTGCTAGAGCAGGAACCTTCCTCATTTTGCTATTTCTTCAATCAAATGGGGCATCCCATAATCCCATCCATGTTCATTCTCTTAATAAAACAAAAAGACCAAGTCCATTGACTGTTTATGGACTTTTGGTGTGCCTGGCTGTGCAGTGCTTAGGGGACCCAAAACAAGTCCAGCGGCCCTTATGAGAGTAGTGCTACACTCTCTAACTTAAGTGCCTGTAGGCAGGTGACATGTTGTGCGGCCACTGCTGCAACCAATGAACAATTATTTCACTTTTGATGGGTGGCAGTAGTAGTATGGTGGCAATCTTCACATCACTCACTCACTGCCTGGTAGCTGTCAGAAGTTAACACAGCAATGACATAACCACTGGTGGTTACTTCTTGCACTAGGGGAACCATGCAGAGGACTGGTTTATCCTCTACAGTGGACTCCAGGAGGCCATCATGGTGTAGCCTGTGTCTGATTGGATACAGAACTCTCCCAAGATTTGAGCATCCATCTTGGAAACAGGCTATATATAGCCATTGCTGGGCCCTTCTGAGGGTCCAGAGACATCTGCTGGTTAGGGAAAATAAGCCAATGACTAGGGAAAGGTTACGGAGGAGTAGGTATAGATTAGAGATGGTATTGAATATATATGCTGGATACTAGTTGGTGTTTGTGGAAGACTGTTGTTGCCCAGCCTGCTATTTGGATTGGTTCATTCTTGCAAACGATTTTGCCAACATATTACCTCTTCTGAAAAGCCACATGTAGCAGCCTCAAAGGTACCTGTTTAAAGAAGTAATTCACAAGCATCCTGCAGTTTGTAAGTCTTGCGATATTTGTGGTATTGTGGTGGATGTGTATACATGCGTTACTGTTCAACATTTGGAAAATAAATTAATCATGTCCCTATTCCCATAACATTACTTAAAAACATATTTAAAAGTTGCATCTTACCTTTTTTAGATGCTCTATTCTGGGCCCTCCAGCAAGGAAGAATCCTAGGTAGTGTTCTTTTTTTGTGAAGGGGGCTGGGCAGCTGCATTTGCCATAATTAACCCTGTCTGTATAGTGCAGGCAGATCTTCATTATCAATTGTAAATGTATGTTAATAAAGACAGACTTGGGACAGGCTCATTCTAACATTGTTCAAAAACATTACCAGCAGCCATGACACCTCTTCCTCAGAAACATCTAAAAGGTAAATTTTTTTTTTTTTTTTTCAAAGCATGCTGTGTAAATGAGCATGTATAGCAAACATCATAGAGAGAGCAATATTTCTAGGGCTAGAATTCATGATTAATGCCAAAACGTGTAAAGGCTTTTAAAGCGTAACGTATGGACAATTTTAGGTACTGTAGTTTGTCACAATTCTGCATGCTGTTTTAAATCCTGACATATTTGGTATCTATCACTTGATGCAACATCATATGTTATACGTGTAGTGTATATATGTGTAGTCTTTCCTGAAATTTGTGTTTGATAAATGGCTGCACAAATATTGTGTTGCATGAAAATAATTTAAACAGCCACCATTTTATTCTCCAGGGCCAGTCATTTTCTAGCAAAAATATGCAAATTTTAGCGTGTGTAAAAAATTGTCCTTGTAGGCAAGAAGTTAAAGCCTAACTGTAGGGTAGATAATGCTCAGCTACAGTGTAGCTCCCCCCACAATGCATGGATTAGTTGCTCATCCTATATCATGGGGAACAGACATGATAGCTTAAATCATGCCCTGCTATGGTGATGTCCTCTTCTCCCCAAACCTCTGGTCTATGGGTGGTCTCTCAACATCATTGCATACAGTGCTCAGCTATTAACCCTGTATTGTACAGGGTGGAGGAAAGTGTGTGACCTCAGCCTGGAGCACCTTAGAGAGGAGGAGGAGGGGGACCGGTCTCACCACTTTAGGGGAGGCTACCTGAGCATTGAATAGGGAAAGTATTTCTCCTTATTCTGGCACCCTTAGACATAATCATCATTTAACCCTTGCAGATAGGGATGGGGCGACACTGAAAGGGTAGATTTATCTCTAATTCCTGGAGTTGGGCGTTAATTTCAGAAAAATCTTATTACTTACTTTAAAGCCCCATTTTTGTTTTGGTAAGATGTTTACAACTACAGCTCTAGTTAAAACAACATGCCCAGGAACAATAAGTTCAATCTAACTAGCTGCCTTAATAATTGTGGAAAAATGACACTGCCATCAATACCGTGTATTTTTGACACATTATGGAGCTTATTTATCAAGTGTAGCAAAATGGATTTGTAGCGAGGAAACTTCAAAATCGATAGTCCCTCTGTGCATCTGTGTATTAGCATTGATTTTTCAGGGTGTGCCGTCTGTGTTTAAAAAAAAAAAAGAAAAAAACATTTTGGCTCACAGAGCTATGATAAAATTTGAGACTTGAATACTGTAATCAAATCATGTATTAATATCACAAAGAATCACAAAATGTGAACATGAAAGCACCAAAATCTACCATAAAACACAATAGGCCTCGGGCCAGGTATTAAGGGCAAGTCTATTGCTGCTATGTTCTTGAATTTAAAAAAGGGAACTTTAATATCTTACGTACACAACTGTTATAACTTATTATATGTCTCAACATTTAAAATTGAAAGTGTGTAGATGATGTAG